TGGGGTCTCGCCCGCGGCGCTCCGGATCCCACCACCAAGTGCGCCCAACTTACTTAACTCCTAGGGCGGGCCGGCGGGCAGGCGGAAGGAAGGAAGGCAGGCCGGGCGGCCGCGGGGACAGCCTGGCGCGGCAGGCGGCTTCGGGCCCCACCTGGCGCAGCCTCGGGGGACCACGCGAAGGGTCCCGGGGTTCGAGCCCGACGCGCTCCCAAAAAGTCCCCGCCGGCGCTGACGCGGAAGCGCCACAGCTCACCACGGCCCTGCGCGGCCGGAGACGACGGCGGCGGCGGCGGCGGCGGCTCACGGCGTCCCTCCGCGCTGTGGAGCTGGGCGGGCGGGCGGCGCGGGCGCAGGCAGTTGACAGGAGGAACCGCCCCGCAGCAGCCGCCGCCGCCACGGAAAGAGCCGGAACCGCAGCGGTCAAGACCTGAGACGCCCCTCGCCGGGGCAACGGCTGCCGCCGGAGCCCGGCTATCCCCAGCGCCGCTCCACCTGCAACGGTTGCTCAGGCTTTTGGAGAGGGGCGGGAAAGAATGGGGTTTCCCCCAACCTTGGGCCTGTTTCGGTAGTAGTTGTTGGTTCAGGAAACTTTATTAAGTCAGTCCCTCTCTTTCTCTGTCTCCCCCTCCCCGAAGAGCCTGAGCTACCGCCGCAGAGCGGGTAGGAAGGGGGAAGCACAGACTCTCCGGCAGCGACAGGGAGCGACTGACTGACCCCGGACGGAGATGGGGCGAGGGCAGGAAGTGACAAGCTCTCAGAGTGGGTGGGGGGAGTGTGGCCGGCACGCCCGGGAGCGCCGCGCGCATGCGCCCGGCCCGGCGCCCCCGCCTGTGGGGCTGCGACGCGGCGCGGCCGGGCGGGAGGAGGGAGCCGTGGCGGGTGGCGCTGGGGCCGCGGCGGGGGTCTCGGGTCGGCCACTCGCCCGCGCGTCGTCCCGCCGGCCGACGGAGAGCGCAAGCCCTGAGCTGCGCGCGCCGAGAGGTGTGAGGCCCGTGGTGCGGCTTTCGCGCCCGGAGACGGGCTGCCCAGCAACCAAACTGTTGCTCTGGCTTTTCTCCTTTCAGTGGGACCGAGACAGGGAGGCTCGGAAAAGCACGGGCGTGAGCTGTAGGAAGAGGCTGGGCAAGTGCGGCAGCCCGAAGTGGAGGTGATTCCGAAAAGGTTGCCAGCGCATTAAAAAAGTCGAAACTTTTCTTTTAAACCCAGCAATTACCAAAGTGCACCTCTCAGAACTTGGGGGTTTTATCGGGTCCTTGGGAGGAAAACAATCCAGTGGTGGAAGATCGGTTCTGATTCCAGCAGCGCTCCGCTTCTGGAACCTGAAAGTGAAGTTGGGTCACGTGCGCTGTACGCACTTTCCCCCCGGTCGGCTCCCGGAAAATCCCCGAAGATCTCAGCCGTCTGTCAAATGCAGCAAACCCCTGTGCCGCTTCTTGGGGGCTCGAGAGCCACATCCTCCGCCTTCTCCCCAAGTAAAACGGAATTCTTGCCCAAGAAGCAAATACATGTCCACTGTCGGTCAGGAAATTTTAAGGGAGAAAAAGCCCATTCGCTTTATCTCCCCGCCCCGCGAGATCCACTGAAAACCTTCGCGGTTGTCTAACTTAAACTGCCAGTTTTCGGAACCCTGAAAAAGCAAAGGCAGATAGACTCTATGTGTGTTTCGAAGAGCAACCAAGTGACTGAAATCTATTTTCAAAATTCAAAGGAAATTTGTGGCAGGTCCAGAAATTGATAAATTTTTTGTAAAAATATTGAATGGAGCATTTGCATAGGTCTTGAGGGATTGTAGCAGCTTGATTATAGGGGTGACAGGAAAAGGATAGAAAAATGACCACCTTTTTAAAAGGAATTCAACTTATTGTACATTCTACACACACACGTCATATAAGTACTGTATTTGATCGTTTCTATCTGTCCTATTGTCAAGCATCACACAACGTCAAACTGAAATGTAATACAGTGCCACGATTTATAAATCAATGTAAAATAAATTGATTTATTTTACGTCCACGTGATGGTGTTTGTTATACAGCCGATAAAAATCACATTTTGTATAGTATTTAATTGTATGCAATATGCTTAGGCAAAAAAAATAGGAAAAATTTTTTAATGTGACACAGTGGAACTATAGGTAATTTTTATTTAACGTTGGAAATTTTTGTGTAGTACAATTTGAGGTGAAATACTTGTTTTTGGAGGATCTTTTGCTACTTTTATTTAATAAGCGCACTTATCACAGGTTATAAAATGAATATACACTTTTAAGTTTCCATAATTGAAAAGGCATTGCTTCAGATATGTGAGAGTTATAAATGTTTGCTGACCAGATGTGAGTAAAAACCAGCTTCGCAAGTAAATGCAGTGTTATTTATACTTCAAAGTGCCGTTACTACAGGGTCCACAAAATTGCTTGCTAATAGAATATTTTAGTCTTTGAAAAATTAGAATTATAGACAAGATTTGAATGTGCATGTGGGTAAAACAAATATTGAACGCTGAGTCATAAAATTTTAAAGATGACAAGAAACCATGGAAATTATCTAGTAAACCTTACTTTACAGATGAGAAAACTGAAACCCAGAGCAGTTAACTGATTTGCTGAAGGTCACACAGTAACAGAACTGGGTCTAGGACTGAGGTCATTCCCTTCTATAACACAGCAATACTAGTATCTGACATGTATTGAGTAATTAATATGTTTTAAGCTCGAGTATTAACTCATTTAATCCTATCAGCAATCCAATGAGGTTTTGTTATCCTTCCATTCTACAGGTAGGAAAACTGAGGCAAAGATATGTTAGATAACTCATCAAGGTTACAGCTGATAGGCAACTGAGCCAGCGTTTAAACCCAAGCAGTATGGTTCTGGAACTCATGACCTTAGCCATTATGCTATATTGCCTATACTGTGTTGCCTACACTATGTCTTAACTGCTTTGGATCACATTGTATGTGAAAGATGAGCCAGTAGATCCTGTCAGTTGTAAAAGGTATTAAAATGCTATGTACAAGTTCATGAAGTAGAAATGGGGTTATTAAAATCACAATTTAATTGAAATTTCACAGAGCTCTATAGTTTAAAGAGACTTTGGACATTGTCTAGAATTATCACCCTACCTCTAAAAACACTGTGTACAAACCGTTGCAGAAAAATCATCTGTCTTCCCCTGCATTGTTCATGTGGCAACCTAGGTGACACATCATTACAGCTTTAAGGAACTTTTTGATCCTTAAAGTCTGTAAGTACATCCTAATGATTAACTGAAGACCCTTTTACAGTTTAAAATTATTCTCTCATCTTCAAGGCAGGAGAATTCTACCATATATATACACACAGAGATACACATATATTATTGATGCATAATAAACCACCCTAGAATTAGTGCCTTAAAGCTATTTTTTGTGCCCTCAATTCTGTAGATCAATGATTTAGCCTGACCTTGTCTGGAATCGTGCATGTAGCTGCTACAGTCATCTGGCAGCTTGACACAGGCGCACTCATGGCTGGCAGTTGGTGTTGACTATTGGCTGGACCTCTCTCTCTTCTTAGACTTTCATTCTCAGGATTAACTGGGCTTCTTCGTATTGTGGCAGCATGCCAAGCAGGTGCAGAGTGGAAGCTACAAGATCTCTTGAAGCAGATGTTACATGACATCACTTCCACCGTATTCTATTAATCAAAGTAAGTCAAAAGGCCAGCACAGATTCAGGAACTGGGGAGATAGATTCCCCTTCTTGATGGGAGGAGCAGCCAAGTCACATTTCAAAGGGACATGTATATAGGAATGGGAGGAATTATTGTGATGATCTTTGCATACAGTCTATCACAATATATAATTATTTCAAGTATGATACTAATTAAAGCTGCTGATTTTTTTTAATGCTTGATGATGCCTTTAAGAACAGCAAACGCTAAACACTAGTTAAATCTATTCTTTAAGCTGACTTTAAGCTGACTTACTGAGTCAATTTGATGGCCTTGTGTAGATAAACTTTGGTGATTCCTTAACTTTTCTCCCTGGACTTCTTTTTCTCATCCTTTTCTTGCTTTCTTTAAGATTTTCCCATCTGTTCTAAACAGATGCCACTAAAACAGCATAAAACCTCACATCAAGTAGAAGCAATTATAGTTCTTATGGGACCTACATACTCTGGTCCAGATTTTCTAGCTTTGATTACAATGTGGCATTTTGCAACACAAATAATTAAACATAATTATGTACAAATCAAATTATGGGCCTAAATAAAGGCTGAGAGTTTAGAAAGGGTCATGGAAAATTTGATTTAAAAGGAAAAAGATTAAACTGTTGATCTATTATCAACCATATAGAACTTAACACCTAAGTATTGTGCACACAACATAATATGAAAAAAGAAGATAATGCTTTCCCTAAAATGTTTGTTTTAAGGAGAGTAGAGAGAGGTTGTACCTGGGTTGTCTCCCTGGAGATATGTCGCCTACCAGGAAACCCCTGACATGGACTTGTATCTTCCATTCCTAGTGCCAAAGGCACACTTAGGTCTTGCTGGCCAGGTGACACAATGCATACACCATGCTGCCATGTGGGCCTCAATCCATACCTGATAGGTCTTCCATTCAAATGCATTTCAGATAGCATTTAAGTGAATTTCATTTAAAAAAAATGTTTTTTGTCACAGTGGAGTTTGTTCATAAGTAAGTCTGTATCGTAATCTAATAATAGCTAATGATAATTTTGTCACTTACTGAACTCAGACAACGTGCTAAGTGCTTTCTAGTTTTTCACGGAATCCTTGCAAAGATCCTGGGTTAGATAGTATCCCATTTTACAAATAGGGAAACAGATAATTAGTGTCTGAGCTAAGATTTAAACATAGTTCTGTCTCAGTCCAGGTCCTGTGCCTCAAGTTACATATATTCTGATTATTCCTAAAATTTTATCTCCAGCTCAGACCTGTCCCTGGAGCCTCTAAGTTTTATTTCGAACTACCAACGAGACAGACCATCTGAATTTCCCCAGGCATGTCAAAATTAGCAGGACCAAAACTGAACATATCTTGTCACCAAACCTGTTCTTCCTCTTTCAAATTTTAATCAATAGTGTTGCTATCCTTTTGGGTTATCAAGATGGAAGCCTTGGAGTCATGGAGAGGAGCATATGTGAAGATGCAAGGTAATGCAAGTTACCTGTGTACACTGTTTCTCAACTCTCTTATCCCCAGCATCTAACCTAGCACCATAAATTATTCCTTATACCTCAGAAAGGTCTAGGAAATACAGTTTCCTCTCTCCATATGCACTATCAATCTTCTAGTCCAAAACGTCATATCTGAACCATTGCCATAACTACCTCCATGGTCTCCCTACCACCAATCTCTCCTTCACTCCATTATTCCACACTATCAACAGAACCACAGTCCAAATAAATCCAATAATATTACTCCCCAATTTAAAATCCAATTTTCTACATGAAGAAGTCAAATCTTAAAAAGAAGCATTAGTAAAAAGAGCGTGTATTTTGGATTTGAAAAGTCTGTGTGTTAGTCCTATCTCCATCACTTGAATTTTGTTTCTCTAAGGAAATGAGAACCTCTCTTGAGCCTCAATTTCCTCAGCTGTACACTACCTTCAGTGTTGTGGGAAATCAGTTAATGAATAAAGCACCCAGCAGGACCTGGAACACAGTACAGGTATAGTAATAATAAAGACTTATTATTATACCCGGCCCTCCCACAACTTCACAACTTTATGC